GGAAAAAGAAATCATCTTACAAGAAAAGTTCCATTTTTGGTTCTGAATATTTTCCTCGTCACTTACTGCTACCTTCCAGATGATGTTGAAAATCTCTTTAGATTGAGGAGAGAATTTTCTTTGTTTTCTGCAAGGTTACTGTTATGGTTGTTTCTGTAATTGTTTGGTAGAGAATAATGGTACATAATAACACACAACTTTTCTCAATAGGGGCTAGAAGTGTGTACCATCAGTTATTTATGAGCAGTCTACTTATGGATTTGAAATACAAGAAGCTTTTTGCTATCCGGTTTGCAAGAGTAAGTAATTTTCTTATATTGTATGTTAAACAATTCAAAAGATATAGCTTTGAAACCATGCAAGAGTTTCAGCTAGAGCAGTGGTTCTCAATCAGGGTGCTGTAGCACCCTACGGTGCCCAGGATTTTTTCAGGGTGCTATATGGTACCACGCATCATTTCTGAACACATGCTTACCATGATTATCTTGTGAACCATATTGTCACACAATCTTAATGCTGTTAGATGTGAAAACATGATTCACAAGATAAACCCTCAGATTTCAAATAGGAATAATGTCAAAAACATTTTGACCTGTTGTGGTCTTTCTGAGTTCTTTGCAACTCAGAAGGACCACAGAGAAAAATTGCTTGATTATTTTTCTGTAGTCAAAAAATGAGTGAAAACTAAGAGTTGGAATTTTTGAGTGGTGCCTTGAGTCCAGTGAGGTTGAGAACTACTAAGCTAGAACTTACAACATTTTGTCTTAAAAAAAAAAAAAAGCTAACACAAGATTTTTTTTTTGTCCTGGAACATTGTCCTTACTCTCTCTTGGTTGGATGGAACCACTTTTAAGTAAAAACATATTTATTATGAGATCTTGTCCTATGAAAAGAAAATAGAGCCTTTAGGTTACTAAAATAAAGCAGTTCTTTATAAAATTTCAAAGTTAAACACCTCTGATAATTTATCTTCCTGGTCAGTTGTCTGGGGTCGCATTGCTTGAGAAACTACTTATTGGCCAGTGGTGGTATGTGAGTTGTTGCAGTGCTTACCCAGAGGTGGTTTCTGAAAGGAAACCACACTTTTATTAACATTTCTATGTTAACAGGTGATTGAAATGCTATAAAATCAGTCTGCTCACCTTCTTGCCTGATACAAATCACTTTTCTTTTTTTTTTTTGTACTGGCAAGTGAAAAACTAGTCTTAATTGTTGGAATTAGAATGAGTAGATGTTATGCCTGGACTGCTAAATTTACCACAGTCACTTTTGAAAGGTGTCTTTTAATGAACCATTCAGCAGGGTTTCATATGAAGTGGGCCATATTTGATTTGGATTCAGCCTGATTCGGGGGGTAGTGATTCGATTGATTGATTAGGATCACTGTCCCGATTCGATTCAGCCGAATCTGAAGATTCAGTTCTGATTCTGAGAATCAGCAATTCGGCCATAGACACAGCTTTATATGTTTTTTCTACATACCTCAAGGTACTAGTGTGGCTCATGAACGCCAAGATGGTGGGGCGGATGGAGCATCTCACAGGAGCACAATGGGGCTCCCCGCTTGCTCGGCAGCGGACCCCACCTTCCTCCCTGTGCCCCTTGGCTCAGTGATCAGCCACAGGGAACCTCGGGTGTCTCCCAAGACCCAGGAGGCAGCAGTCACCAAGGCTGGCGGGGCTCCCCTGCACACTCCATGGTGGACCTGGAAGTGGACCGGATGTGCTTCTGGTCCACTTCTGGGTCTGCCGCTGAATGCACCGTGGACCCCCCGCGCTCCCGTGGGATGGTCCATCCACCCCACCATCTCAGCATTCACGAGCCACCTGGTACCTTGAGGTATGTAGAAAAAATATATAAAGCTGTGTCTATGGCCGAATCGCTGAATCTCTTCGAACTGAATCGGAGGCTTCTGATTCAATTTGGAGAGATTAATAATAGGTCTCTGATTTGATTTAGATTTGGAGATTCGGCTGCCAAATCAGGCTGAATCTCCTCCATATCGAATCAGCGACTGAAGCTTCACATAGCCCTACTATTCAGAGTTTGAATTACAACTTTGACTCTTGCGGGGGTTCTGCAGAAAAAATTAAATTGGTTCGTTGATTAACAAGTCCACCTAAGTGAAGGAGGAGTCCGACTGGAGACCCATCCAGGTTTTGATTTTCAAATCTTACAGGGGAGCTCTCAGCTCTTATGGGGGGCCTCAGTCTTCCTGAGCTCCCCCTTAATTCACACCCTGGATCCACTAGCACAAGGGTTTTCAACCTTTTTTGGTTGGTGTACCCCTGGCGGCCAGTGGAGAAGCGGGCAGTCCCCCAGCAGCGGGTCAGTGAGTGGGAGGGGGGTGCCCCCTGCACCCACACTACACGGCAGCAAAACCACAGCCCTGATGAAAACAAAAGTGCCGGTGGCGTATGGTGCCGCAAGTGGTGCGAAGTGCTGGCAGCCCCGCTTCCCTGTGCTGCTGCTGCATACTCAAGTACTTCCAGGGGTATGTGTACCCCCAGTTGACAACCCCCACATTAGCATACTCATCTTCATCGTAGCATTGAATTTCTCCAGGGCTGGCTTTAAATTTAAAGAAAGCAGGTCAGTGTGGATCAGAGGTGAATTTCCCCCTTGTTGTTTAGAATTACCGGCAGTTGCAGAGAGATTTTATGGAGGATGATCACGAGCGGGCAGTGTCGGTGACTGCTCTATCTGTCCAACTCTTCACTGTTCCTACTCTGGTGAGTAGTGCTTGCCTTTTTTAAAACTGATAGTTGGCACTCCTTGCCTTTTTTTGCCTCTTTGATAGAACTATGAGCGATTGCAGAGTGATTATGTGAAAGATGACCACGACAGAGAGTTCTCAATTGCTGACCTCTCGGTACAGATATTCACAGTGCCTTCACTTGTAAGTACTAAATGATTAAAAAAGGAAACTTTTTGTTAGGTGCTGTAGTAAGAACACAAGCTCAGACTGTTAGATTTCTCTGTATGTTTGTAGTATTGCTATGCAAATACAAAGTGCTGCTGACTTTTATGAAAACATATCAAATAATTTGTAAGTACAATTACAGCTTTCTTAAGTAAAAGTTAATCAGCATTATACAGTTTCTGTCTGGGTGTCCTAGAGGCCAGAGGAGTTTGGAAATTTTGGGTTTAACTCATTTCTTTTGAGTTTCTTTGATATTTCATTTAATAGATGGCCACCTCCATGTACATGCACACATTAAGACGCATATTTTTGCAGTTTTTTAGCTAAATTCAATTGAGCCAAAAACTAGTATTTGTAAGTATTACCATTAAATGTTGCTATACCAGTTGCCAACTTATGAGTTGTGACCCCAAGGAGGGCCACAAGAACTAAATCTAGTGAACTTGTCCCTGTTTCATTAATAGGTAAATGGCCCTGCTTTAAATCTCCCTTAGGAGTAAGACCAGGCCCAGTGATAGTTACTGTGGAGCAGACAAGGTATGGTTCCCATATTATTGCAGGCGTACAAGCAGTTACCACTATTAGGGTAAATCTCCATGCCATATTATTTAAGGGCATAGGATCTGTGCTGTTAATTTTTTAAGAGGATCTGGAGATTTGCTGTCCCCCAGCAGCTCTCTTGTGATTATATCCCTATGCCTTCATTTAGGGAGAGCTTAAACTGGAGCAATTTATCTGTGAATAAAACAGAATTAAGTCCTTAGACCAATGTGGCTAGAACCAAAAACCCAGCATATTCAGATTAAATTTCACTTAACTGATGCCTGCAGTTACACCACGTTATTATGTCTGCAATTAATAATGAGTGGCAACTTACCCTTCCTTAACTGGTGCTTGGAAATTGTGTCTACTCTTATCAATGCCAAGTTGAAACTAAACAGGGTTTCTTTAATCTTCTTTCAGTCAAGGCTAAGATGCCCCCATTTAGCTTTTTCTGTTAGGTAAGCATGGTCCTATTCTACACTGGAAAGCAATTGAGAAAAGCCCTTACCCTGTTGTGGGGATGTGATCAGTGGTAGCTCTTTGTATGAGTTGCACAAAATTATCCCCACTGTAAATGAGTTACGGTCAGCAAAAGTTTGGACACAGTTGCGTTATACAGTGTGGCTTTGGAGCTTGCCACCCCATGGTGTGGGATTGCAGTTAACATGACTCCTGTAACCTTCCTGGATTTCCAGGCAGCCCAGAGGTAATCAGAAATTAAATCCCCCTACCATTGTTGTTTTCTGATTTATCAAGTCTTGTAAAACAAACTCTTTATTCCTTTGGTTCTTCCAGGCTCAAATCCCTTTTCCCCGGGGATTGCAAATTTACCCTTGTTTTAGGACTTGAGACTTCACCAGTTACACTCCAGCCTGTGCCACTCAAAATCTTTTTCTCATTTCTGTTCCCAATTAAAACTTTCCTCTCCCTTGGGATAGTCTTCACATCCTTTGGTGTTGTGCTTGAATCCTGACAGGCTTCCCCAGTCTTGTATTATTGCACTAGAAGAGTCTTCTTGTAGTTCTGTCTTGATTCCAGACTTCTCTTGGCTGAATTAAGAATATTCTCTTTTTACTTTAAAGGGACAGACCAACAGTTGAGCTTTATTTTAAAAATATATAGATGCTTCTTGAATTATGAAAACCTTTTTCTAACAAACCATTTTCAGTATAATGTAACAATATTACAGTTAAATTGAAGAATAAGTACTCTGTCTCTGTGAGAATGGATTTGAAAGCTAAATAAAATGAACAAAAATGACTTGTATGACTAGAATTGTTGCTGAAATGCTTACAATTTTCCAGGTAGAATCAACTTAAAGGAAAATTTAAAGTACTGCAAAAAAACTTGAAATTATGGCAGTTGGTTGGGAGTCTTTAAAAAAGGATTTCCAGATAGCTATTCTGTATTGCCATTTTTTATGTTTGTTAGGTGCTGGGAGTGTCTTCTGGAAGCATGAGTCAAGACCTAGGGTTATCGTCCTACCTCAATGTCTGACTTACCCTGTGGCCTAGATTTGATATTAAAATCCTTTACTCAGCTGTAAAGTGGAGACATCACATTGTAAGGTGGTGTTAGGGTTGTCTGACTAGCATTAGTAATGCTTTTTTTCTCAGTGTAGTTTTTTATTAAAAGGAAAAATTGTTAAGTTTCCTCATAGAGCAGAAGAAAACTGAAAAAGTGTGGAAACTGAGTTGCATCCTGTAAGGAATACAATAAGGAAAAGGACTGAGGCAGAGAAACTCTTTTTTGACTTTATTTTGAGATAGGAAGGTAAATTTTCAAAACAACAAGTGCAGTAACATTAGAATAAAAGCATCATTCATTTCCAGATTCATACCGGCTTCCTCAGATATAGGGCCATTTTTATATTTGCTTTTATCTTTATTGAAAAACTTAAAATTACTCTTACAACACAGGTTTTTGATAGTGGTATGTCACTATCACTAAGAAGTACGAGGTGACATTTGAAGTGGAATAATGTAGTTATGCAGCTAGATTTTGATTTTCTTTGCTGAACACTGAGAGTCTCATTTTTCTATTTAAGTAATATTAAAACATAAAGGAACATATCAACAGTATCAGGTATTTGGCTGTAAATGAATAGATTTTAGTGACAAAATTTAAGTAGTTTACCTTTTATTCCCATCAGTAGTGTCTTTTGATTTATATAACAAACTTTTATGTATTTTGGTATAGGCACGAATGCTAATAACTGAAGAAAATCTTATGACCACTATCATCAAAACCTTTATGGACCACTTAAGGCACCGTGATATTCAAGGCAGGTTTCAGTTTGAACGATATACAGCCTTGCAAGCTTTTAAATTCAGGCGGGTTCAGAGTCTTATTTCGGATCTCAAGTAAGTGTCTTGATTCTTATCAAATTAAAAAGTACTTTAAAAATTTAGAATAACTTACTAATTTTTCCTCTGTTGTTCAGGTATGTGTTGATAAGCAAGCCAGCTGATTGGTCAGATGACCTGAGACAAAAGTTTCTAGAAGGTTTTGATGCCTTTTTAGAATTACTGAAGTGTATGCAGGTATGTGAATCTGCAAAGCTCTAAAGGTTGTATTCTGTCCTAATAGAAAGAGTAATGAACAAACTAGAATTTTTATTACTGTTTTAAAATATGAAATGAACTTATTTTTTCTTCTGTGTGTATAAAAAATAAAATAAAATGTGTGTGTGTGTTTGCGTGTGTATATATTCCTCTGTGTATATATATATATATATATATGGTTCTCTCATACAGTTAAGACAATGCACATTTAAATGCATGACAAAAGTTTGACTTGGTCCATCTTTGCCAGCTTCCATTATGTTTGAGTGTCCTATATATTATTTGAAATTAATTGCTTCTGAGCTCTGTACAAACATATTGGGAGAGCAAGTCCTTTTCAGAAGGAACATATAAGCTTACAGATATACATACCCAATGATATCCTTTGCTGCGATCACTGTCAACCATGTTGTCTTAAAAGAAGTAAGATGAATGCAGCTTTTACAAGGAAAAGCAGTTGTGAAGACAGAAGCCTGGCCAACTAATCTTTACTTTTTCAGTGCTGTGTGGCTAGGTGATATTCTCTGAAGTTTTTATGAAGATTTTTTAATACATTTACAGTGTGCTGCAACAATCAGACCACTCTTTCATGTTCTTTTCAATTTTAAATTATATTTATCCACACTAGATTGGTACCTAGAGACTTTTTTTTCTTTTGTGAGTTTGCTGCTTCATTTAGTGCAAATACAGGGAATTTTAAAATAGGATTTTCTATTATGGGTCTCATAAATTAATTGTCTTGTCCATTAGCCTTGTGTCCTAGCCTTCTGAATTGTTTGGCACCTTATCTCCTTTTCTTTTAAAATTTTATACTTTGATATATCTTCAGTGGGCTTATTCATCATATAAAATTAGCAGTGTTTTAAAGTAAGTGATTACTTTTTTTTTGTTTAGTGTCACTAGGGGTTTTGAGAGACAGTTGATCTGTATGATTCTTTGTTTATAGGGCATGGATCCAATAACCCGTCAAGTAGGACAGCACATAGAAATGGAACCAGAGTGGGAAGCAGCCTTTACATTACAGATGAAATTAACACTTGTTATTTCAATGATGCAGGACTGGTGTGCATTAGATGTAAGCTGCTTCTTGTTTTAGCCTATGAATGTATAAAGGAAGATGCAGGTAGATAAATATCTATTTGTAGTAGTCTAAAAAACCATACATATCTGTTATGTCAATCTTAATTATTTATTCTGTTAAAGAAGTGTATCTACAAGCAGGCTAACAAAACAAAGGAAAAAGTTAGGGTCCCACACTGGGCATATACCTTTTAGAAGGGCCACAGATCACAATTGTTCTGTATATTTTAGAGTTCAAACAAGCATCCAGTAGTTGAGACTGATACGATGCCTTTAAGAGCTCAGTCATAGACAGAAGAGAGACTGAATATTCAGTGGAGAATTTACTAGATCCCCATACATATTTGATGCTGTCCAAGGGGAAAGCAGATTGCTGTAGCCTATCGGATCTGCTGAGTAGGACTTCAAATGTGGCTCGAGCTCCCTTGGAACAAGTGAGCCCTCAATAGCCAGAGGCTCAGTTCAGCCTTAATTTGTCACTTTGTTGCATTTGTATTTTTTGTTAGCCCAACATAATGATAGTATTTGGTAGACTCATCTAGTACCAGGTATGCAATAACCATTGTTGCATTTAATTATACTTGCCTAGGTTTGCCCTGATCTACATCCTCCTTAACATGTGAACACTGTCTTTTTGGATATGTGGGGAACCAATAACTTGAATTAAAAGGAATTTTTAAATTTTAAGATGTTAAGCTTGTATTAATAAAGACAACAATAAAATTTGCACATAGAAACAAGTATGTACTCCATTATCTTATGCCAAGTATTACACATTATGTTATTTCAAAGAGCTCAGTATTCTTTATAATTATGTAAGCCACAATCTCTTTTTGTAGGAAAAGGTACTCATTGAAGCTTATAAGAAATGTCTGAGTGTGCTGATGCACTGTCACAGTGGTTTTGCTGATGGAGAACAGCCTATCATGCTCAATATGTGTGGACATTCAGTTGAGACCATCAGATATTGTGTTTCTCAGGAAAGAGTTAGCATTCATCTTCCAGTATCTCGGTTGCTTGCAGGTAGGAACTGCTTAGTTTAAAAAAGGTATTGTGAACTTCTTGCATACACCTAACACAGTAGTTCTCAAACTTTCTGAAGTCTTAGAACCCTTTCATATCAGGTCTTCTGCTGCAGAACCCCCTTCCCCCTACCATAAAACCTGACACAGAGCCAGGTGACCCAGCCCAGCAATGGCAGAGCACCTCCCGGCCCACTCTGCCATTACCCCTAATCTCTTTGCAGAACCACAGGGTTCCCTGGAACATATTTTGTAAACCACTGACCCAGCATAAGGAACTTACAATCACACTGAGCTTAAGTAGAATCCGTTGCTCAGTAGCCACTTCCCCAGTCTGTTAAAGACATTCCCCTGTGCCTGTGTCTGTGCTGACTGTGCCTGCTGGAGACTTGCTCATGCCCTAGGAATCTCCAGAGTTGGGAATTTGGCATAACTTTTTTTTCCTTTGTCACCTGGATTTGCCCTGTGCGGGGGTATGATCTAGTCTGTAAGTGTCCTACAGGCCAGATGATCCACCTCCACAGGCTATATCTGGCTTGTGGGCCATATGTTTGACAGCCCTGCTTTAGATAATGGATGTTAATTAGATAATATTGGTTTTCTGTGAGGTGACTGAATATTGAGCAAAAAGCACGTAGACTGTTTACCTGCATAATAGTTGCAGGACGACTGAAAAAACGTAATGCTTGTATAACACATTTAGTAGCGTATGCATGTTAGATGTGTTTGCCAGGTATTTGCTCATCTGCAGAACCAGTTAAAGGGCTCTACTTCAGAAAAAGGGCAGGTACAGTGGTGAGGAGTTCAGTATGGAAAGAATGAAATAATTTTAAAAGGCCTCGTTGCATCTTTTGAAATATATTTGCTGAATTTAATAGCATATTATCTGCTAGTTCTAGCCTCTGTTTGATGAAGAGTGTTAACATCACTTTTGGATAAAATAGAATTTATAAAGTAGTAACTAAACTTATCTGAATATGTCTGCACTATGCCTCACATATTGTCATAAGTGTCTTGAGAAATGAATGAAAAATAAATTATGTATGTCCCACAAGGCTTGGGGACTTCTGGCGTTATATACCAGTAAGTCTTAAAGCTACATGGAAAACTTGATACGGATTGTTAATATTACAATAGATGCATCTTCAGGACTGTTTTGAAGAACATATATAATAATATGCTCACTTTATTATCTAATATAGGTTTGCATGTCTTGCTAAGTAGAAGTGAAGTGGCTTACAAGTTTCCAGAGCTACTACCACTGGTATGTGACATTTAATGTTTGTTATATACTTTAAAGTGTCATGTCACCCTTAAGTAATAAAGGTAACAAAATAACTTTTTAGGCATACACTTGTGTATTGCATTATATACGCTTCTATGTAGATCAGGGATTGGAAAACTACAGGCTGTGGGTTGTATCTGGTCTGCAGAGCCATTTATCCAGCCTGTAGGTCTGCAGAGCCATTTATCCAGCCTGAAGAATTTTTGTGGAAGTAGGTTTTGCCAGGCATCAGGGAGAAGCAGAAGTGATGACACTGTAGTGGGGAGTAGTGATTGTCTCTAGGGCTCTGGCGACATGCGGTGGGTTGTAACCAGCTTGTGCTCAGAGCTAAGTTCCGTTGAAGTGGGTTCCTCACCGCAAAATCCTTGCTAACCCCTGGTGTAGACAGTCTTTACAAGCTAGGTAAAACAGTCTCTTTGCCTTACTGGTAATTCTTTAGGCATGAGTCTTTAAGCTATTAGTGTGTGTTTTTAATTATTTAAACACTTGAAGAAGATATATGGTTTGGATTGTCTCATACCCTGTCTCTATTTAATGTTTAAAGCTGATTTGGGACTGCGTCCAGGAACTAGATTCTTTCCTGTATAGTGGAGGCTGTATGTCCTCTCCTTGTTTATTTCCTACCCCCCACGTTTCACTTCGTTGTACCATTAATTTTTAATATAAATGAAGACATTGCTT